AAATGGAAAATTAAGGAAAGTTGTTCACTATCGAATTAACAGCTAATTTTCTTTTCGATATTTCTTCTGTTTTCTTTTATCTGATCTGATTATATTACTTATTATTATTACCGATATTAACTGTCAGTTATTGTATGGTATAAAAATATATTATAATGTATAATGTCGTGAAAAATATGTAACTTGTATTACGGACTGATTTTATTTAGTGTAATACCTCTGTAGTCCTCACATTTGCTCAGACCTCCTTCTTTTGGTATCTTGATGAGGTGTTCTTCTTTCCAGTCTGTCGGCACTTGTTCTTCATCCCAAATCTTCTTGAATAAAACGCAAAACATACTTGCATTTATTTCCACGTCTGACGCCAGCACTTCAGATGGTATATTATAAGGTACTGCTTCTTTTCCATTACTGATTTGTCTGATGACCATTTCGATTTCTTCGGTCGTTGGTGGAGTGACAGTTATAGGAATATCTGTGTGTGCTGCCTCGGTATCCGTTGGCTTCAGTGGAGCTGGCTTAATCAAGATTTCTTCAATGTGTTCTACACATCTGGTCTTCTGTTCTTGAATTTCAGTGATTGTCTTGTTTTCTTTGTCATAGACTATGAGAATTGTCACTCTGGTTTACTATGTTTCCTACCAGTTACTTCGTTGTGTCACAAGGTTGTTTGATATTTCCTTCTGTTGCAGCATTTTCCTCTGTCGTTGCTAGGTCTTCCACATATAGCTGCTTGCCAGCTTTAAGGTTCTTCTTCACTTGCTTGTTTGGTTTCGTTTATTCAGATTGTGCCTTGACTTTCTCTGTTCTCGTTCAGCTGTCGTTAATTACTATCTTCTTTCTCTCTTTATTTCATGAATCTCTTCCATGGTTTTCATAGATATCCATTCCATATGATGATGCTTATTTCGGCCGAAAACCTCTTGGCACGTTGAAGTTAGTGCTTCTTTGGTTCCTATCCAATTGTCCTTTATGCTACTTTCTTCTTCTTTGAGTCAGTCTTGTAAGGCTTGGAACCTGTTGTTGGGAGTTATCTTGAATCCTTTGAGTTTGTCAGTATCTCGAAGGGTAGCTGTATTGAACGATTGTAATGCTGTTTATCCAGTTGTCCAGCCCTTCTTTAACTTTATTTTTATCTTGGCCACAAACAGGTGGTGATCTAAAGCCATATCAATTTCTCTCCTTGTTTTCACGTCTTCCATTGACCTTATGAACTTTTATTAACGCAAATGCGACCTATCTGGTTCTCCGTGGTATGGTCCGGTGAGGCCCATGTAGCTTTTCACATGAATTTGTGTGGAAATATTGTGCAGTTTATAACCATTTTGTTGAATGCAGATAAATTTGCAAATCTGTCACTATTTTCGTTCTTTTCTCCCAGTCCGTGTCGTACCACCGTATTTTCATAACCAGTGTTTTCCATTTCGACTTTGGCGTTTAGGTCTCCCCTCAGAATTGTCAGGTCCTTTCCTGAACACTTTGCTGTGATCGATTGTAACCCCTCGTAAAACTGATCTTTATAATCGTCATTGCTATCATTTGTAGGTGCATAACATTGGATAATATTCATTGTGATTCCCTCCTTCATTGTTTTGAATATCCTGGATCCATGAGATTCCCATCCTATAAGTGCTTCACTGCTTCTTTGGACAGCATCAAAGCAACTCCTTGAATGTGTGGAGCATTTTCCTGTTAGTAATCGGAGTACAATAACATCTGTCCCGTATCTAGCCTTTGTTGTCCAGGTTGAGTCCAATGGAATTCACTGATTCCGAGCACCGTCAAATTGTATCTCCTCATTTCTGTAGCTACTTGTTTGATCTTCCTGGTCTCCCATGTTTATCGAAAATTCCATGTTCCTACATTAGTTGTTACTCGTGACTTCCGAAGAATCTCCGATTTTACCATGAAACGTCACAGTTCTTCTGAATGACGATCGTTCAATTCAGAGCGCAGAGTTGAAATGGTTTAAATTATTGATTCTGGTTAGCGTTTTTAGCATGGTTGTTTTGTACGGTATGCGGTAGCTGACGCATGCCCAAACCATAGATTGTTACCGACAGTAACCCTAGAAGAGCTAAACGCGTAGTTATACATGGAATTACTGAGAAAAGGAACGTTACTTATCTTGTAGGGCCTGTTACTTTACCGAGCTCATACAGGTTAGTCCAACAAGCACCGACTGTATACATATATATAGCATAATTATAAATGTCACATTGCAACTTAATTATGAAAAGTTGATTTTAACTTGTTCATTTCTAGCTATTTCGTTATTGCTTTTTTGTCATTCCTAATGATGTCATCAATTCTTTCATTTCACGTATAATTTGTAATTGACAATTAGTATACACAATATTGTTGTTGAGACTTTTCAATTTGTAAAAACCCCATAATTAGATTCAATTGATTTCAACATGAATGACTTATTGTTTTTTTTAATTTATCCAATAAAACTGCCTGACAAATGATAAATAGTTCCACACGCACAAAAAAATTTATTTTCAATAACAGGACTTATTTTTACAATAACAAACTTTAAAACCATTAGTTATTCAAATGAATAGGTTTTCAGAAAAATAACTCATTATAGTAAAATGATTAGTTATTAGTTAAATCAGTAAAATAATCCAAATCAAATTTAAAAAGCTTCTAAGGAATCCCATACTAAGATATATATATATATATATATATAGAGAGAGAGAGAGAGAGAGAAAGGGAGTGTGTTGTTAGGGGTATGAGTGCAGTTATCACTTCCCGATTGCCTACATCGTGGAAGGGTTCTTCTGAAGGTATCTGAAAAAGAAAATTGAGTGAGGGGTGGTTTTAGTGACCTGAGAGCGTGACCGCAGTGGCCGAGAAACAACTGCTTGAGGTTGGTCGTACACGACCTTTTTGTGAGTAATTTTCATGTTAGCTCCGTATCTTATCGCCGGAGACAGGAATCGGTAGGATAAGGAGAGATGTGAATTTTTAGGATCGACCCTTTCTAATCCCATTCCTCCTTGTGGGAAGACAGCATCGCTGTTATGCGGCCTTCGGACCTTGTGTTTGCTGCCTTTAGCCTTATCGCTCTTCAACCGACCTGTCTGGTATAGTAGGACCTTGAGGAACAATTGTTCCAGCCAGTGTAGCTTGATCGATTCATTACGATAGTCAAGCTCGACCATCACGTCAAGGCAGCAGCAACGGTTGGGTATGTATATAAAAGTATCACCTTACATAAAGTGTTAACATTTTCATTTCATTGCTTCAACTTTTACTGATATGAATATGAAATATTTTATAGAGTTTTTATGTAAGACAAATGAAGTATAATTAGATATAATAAATATGATCAAATTAACTTCTTATTGTTTTTTTAATATCCATCATAGATAATCAAATATTGACACTAATAGATAGAATAGTTTTTCTAGTTGAATATTTCATTTCATTATAAAATCTTGGTGAATGGAATTTGTTAAAATATGAGCTTAATTTATTTTTTTAAAATATCTACTACTTAATTTGTTAGTAATATTTACCATCAATAAATATTATCATCCGTTGATATATAAATATGTATCATTAAATGAATAAGTGATGAATGAAATAAATGTAAAATAACCTTGTGTTTAATCATTGATTGGATTGTGATGATCGACCTTAAAGTATGATAAGATATTAATCAAGTGCTTTTATATTTCAATGATCTTTTACTTATTTTCAGTCCTTCAAGAAAAATCCCTGATACAATATTAAGTGAACTATATATAGACATTACAATAAAAAATAATTATTCAGCGGTAAAATTGATCATTACATAATGTTAGACTTGATACGTTTTATGGCATACAATGTTTCAGTGGAAAAAAAGGCTTTTTTTCGTTTTACTATGGCATCACATATTATTTGGTTGTGATAAGATATTATATTCTTTCATTCAATGAATAATATAAATTACATTTACTGTCTATATCAATAAATGATTTTTAACCACTCAGAGTGTTTAACAATAGGTGGTGAACATAGTACGCAAACGTAACATAGGTGATCAATGTAGCATAATGTAACTTCAGTTAGATTTCCAGATTTATTGTTAACGATTAATGGACTAAAGACATATTCAGCAAAGATGGATGGTGGACGGGCGTCTCGTCCTATTTCCCTCCATGTTTGCTTAAAATGTTTGTGAATTAAGGCAATATTGAGGTTGAGAATTCTATATTGTACCAAAATATAATATTGAATAAAGCCATTAATAATAATAATAATACTCACAGCTTGCACGTATGCCAATAAGTGGTTGATCAGTTGCAGCCCTGAACATCAATGGAAAGATTCAAGTAAAACAATATCAAGTGAATTTAAACTTCACTACATTGCACAAACTATTCGCTATCAGGACTCAGTAGCTATATGGATAATGTGGTGGCGTTTGAAGTGTACGGTACTGCGTTCGAGTCACGGAGTAAACATCAACTCTATGATGCAGGCACATGAAGCTTACGAGTCCCAAATAGGTAGAAACGAGCGTCCTGGATTCCACTGGAAGCTGCCATCCGTCTTTGCTTATAATGCTTGTGACTTAAGGCAGTATGCACATATGCCAATAACAGACTGATCGATTACAGTCCTAAACATCAGTGGGAAGATTCAAGCAAATTATACCAAGTGAATAAAGTCATATCTGTGTGAGCTTGTAAAGATTGTTAAATGTTAGTGTGACTATGAACTGATATAAGTTAAACGACTAGTAGAAACCTTAAGGTACTTGGATAATGGAAGTAATGAAATTTGAAATGCAAATTCTGTCTTATTTTACACTGGATTTATATGTATCCCTGTGATGGTATTCATGTCGAGACTCGAACCCAGTACTGTTCGCTCTTGAAACCCAACCTATTATCCAATGAGATACTGAGTTTACATTGCTAATCGCTTGCTCTTGGATTTTAAAAAGTTGCATCAATAAAAAAATTTATCTAATGTTACATAATAATTATGATATTCTTTAGATTAACTCAAGGAACGTAATACCATCAAAAACATTCCCATAAGGCACAAACTTTCCTCACCATTTCAAAGACCAGTTCAAGATTGTAAGTCATTTTGTTATAGTAAAATAAATTCTATTTCTGTTAAATATTTTTTTTCCATCTAACGATGTTTTATGTTAATCTTCTCATTGAAAAATTGAACAGATAAATTTCCTTACGGAAATATGATCTTAGTTATTCTATTCTAAATGATCTATTGAACTAATCTTTTCTGGTTGGAATTAAGAATGTTAAAATATTTTTTGTAAGGTGTTGCAAGATGTATTCATCAGAAAGGTGAATGGTAACAATGATGATTTAAATATTTAGACCACTACTCTTCAGCGTGCATTAAACAGGTTATCACATGATTCAAAATATCCTACACAAACACCTTGACTCTCGACAATAATACAGTTCCTAAACATCTGCACTATTGTGAATATCTGCGTTTCCTAACTATTCGAAATTTGTTGTAAACAATCCACTTATAGTTATTTTGAACTACATATACACTGCTGTAAAATTATTAATTGTAATTTTCTAGATTCAAACATCAGTAAACGGAATGCACCTATTAAGACATGAAACAAGAAAGATTAGTTCAGCGAAAAGTTCTCTTTTTTCAGCAAATTCATTTTCGGAGCCACATAATCATCCTGTAAAATAAAATATGTATATTTGCGATTGTACAGCTTTGAGAATGAATTCGCCGAAAAGTGAACTCTTCGCTGAACTAATCTTTCTTATCCAACCATTAGTTACGCACATTTAAAAAATCGATGTATGTCATTGTTAGAGCACAACTTTTAGTATTAAATCACATAGCACAGATGTCGCAAAAGAATGCAACGGACGGTATGAGTTAATAAGAAATTACATACTAATTTTTAAAAAAAAACATGTTGAAGACATATTGGGGAAATGAAATGTCTTATTTCTAAGTTACTGAGGCTCGGCTTTTTATCTATCGCAACTACTTTAAGTCTTCAAATGAAGGTATACTTACCGGACTATCAGAGCTACAATTAACTCAGGCTGCCACTGTAATACACGATCTCAGTTTATATGGTCACAGTCTAATTAAGTCTACAGAACTAGACTGGTATCGTGTACTCAACTCATGGTATAATAATATTGTACATATCCAGGGGAATATGGTCTACGGTATCTTGGGTTCATTAATTAATCTTAGCTTCATGAGGTAGCCTAAGGTTGTACTTAAACATATTACTAACGAGGAGAAAAAAACCAATAAAGGTCCTTCTGAATAACTCCTGTTGAAACGGTAAAGAATAAAGTTACTAGATATATAGGCAACTAAATATTTCGGTTAAACCATGGTGACTTATGTATTTATAAACTCCGTAATTGAATATATAAATATCAGGAAATTCTTAAAACTTGGTTATAGTAATAGAATATTTACTGATTTCAATTATATTAAAAAACAGTTTAAACGATAACAAACAAGTTTGTATGAACTATTTGAATACCAATTTTAATATATTTTCTCATTTGTAGAACAGATGAATTATAGCTAATCGTAATATACTTTAATCACTTTCCTTCCGCTTCGGGATTTATTATTTATCTGTACCTGCATTGTTGCGGTGCTCAGATTAGAATTCAGATTGAGTGTCGTTTTTTTCAAACGCGGAACGTGTTCTCCGATGAGCCTTTGTAGTTTAAATGGCCATGCTCAACAACTATAGTTTATATATCATTAACCTGTTTGTAATATTCAAAACCGAATTTTGATTAGTCTTTTTTTGAAATATGTGTATCTTGTACCGGACTGACTCAATGTACAACTATTTCATCATATATTTTTCCTTCTTATCGTTTATGTAAATATTCATTATTGTTAATTCATTTTTATAACTAAAAATGAAAATAACAATTGTTACCTATTTTTTGTTGTTGCAACAAAAAACAAACAAACAAATTGTGGTTGGTAGCATATTAACTATTTCCCATTTATTACCCTATTTCATTCTATTGTTATTGAATAATAATAATAATAAATAATTAAATTAAAATAATTAATTACCCCATGGTTTCGTGAACTTTTATTCTCGATACCGTTACCAAGGTGTTAAGATTGTTTGTAACTAAACAATTATATATTTTTATAAATATGAATTAACATGTTTTAAATTACCAAGGAAGTAAGTGTATATTAAATTTAATATATATATTATATAACTGGAAAATGTCAGTACGAGAACAATTTTATCAGAGTACAATTTATATTAGTTTATATTTCTGAAATTAATTCTTGTTGGTGTTGAAGTTCAGTGAAAGGTAGCTACGATTGGTTGAATCAATTTATAGAAATAATCCACGAAGTTACTGACTATATGTCTTAGTCATGTGAATAGACTTAATCTATCTGATTGAGATCTGTTCGATTATCATAACTAATAGTCGAAGATTTTAAGTGACTTAGCTGAGATTCTAGTTTCAATATCTTAGATCTATTCACTCTTTGCCCTTCTCCTAAACCTAAACATTTTAAACTAATTTTTAATTCTCATCCCATTTATTAATTCTTTCTTTTCGAATAATACGGGTTATGTCTGAGATTTTCTACTATCACTACTTTTACCATTCTGGCATTTATCTTGATATTTTATATCTTTTTATATGGATATTATGTGACAACTGGGATCAATACACATGTGTGCCACATCTTACACTTTACTATTGGTTTATTGATTTGCGCATCACATAGAACTTTGACCATATTAAATTTAACTTTAGTCGTCGGAAGGATTATCATTCAGCTATACTTGTTGCGAATGGATATATATTATTATTATTATTTACTATTAAGGTAACTAGTGTAGTGTAGTCCTGGTCCTTAATGATGACTAAATTTTGTTAATCAAGTCACGATGTATCTATTTAATTAAATGACCTGATATCGTGTTAAACGTTCATGAATACTCAACATGGATACATTATTATATAAATTATGATTAATTAATAGTGGGTTATGCACTAAGTTTTATACAAATCAATAAATATGATATTAAAGATGAAACTGAAATGATTTCAGTAATGAATAGTAACCATTTTTTATTATTATTTAACAATGCGATCTAACTATTACATTGTCGTGTTACCATGTAACTAAATTATTATTAAATATCGAAGAAATTAATGGTTCTAGTTAAAAGATTTTTAAATGATAAGAAAATTATTTAGAATGTTTCATGTGAATTGACCACGTAAAGTGATTACTGTGTACAAAGATCGAATGGTTAAATAATATGAATTTGAGAATATCATTTATCGACTTCACCATTAATTATTTCGTTATATGATTTAAAATAACAGTAAACTAAATTTTTCCAAAGCCTATCATTTCATTTATAAAAATAAAAGATTCCATGAGTGATGTTTTCCTGTTCTTTGTGCAGGAAACTAAGGAATACTTTTACAAGAAATATATGATAAAGAGATACATATAAAGTAGAATTCTCGATTTCTATGTGAAACTGTTTATTACAACGAGAGTTTTAAATTATGATAAATGATATTACAAAAAATAAAACATGAATGAACGAGCGGCCTGTTTGAATATCTAGTTTATCTGTTCCTGTCATCTAGATATTTCAACAAGTTATATATTTCCTTGTTTTAAATATATTAATTTATTTATAACAATCTATCCAATGTTCAATTTATTCGAAATTATCAAGTTAATCCTTGGTAATGATACCTACAACCGTATTGTTCCCTTGTTTGTTTTAACATATCATTATGTCAATTATTTGCATAACTTATTCAGGCGCATTTGTGATACATTTACGCCATTTCACTGTACAAGCTACAAAATTTTCCAATCAGATACATCGTGATGGCAGGCAATGTGCATTGAAAAGAATGAATATTATTCAAAGATCGACTTTCAGCGATCACTCAATGTTTATCATCAATATCCATGCAGAAATAAGAAACAGAAACTTGTGCTGAGAATTCTATATTATACCAAAAATATAATATTGAATAAAGCTAATAATAATAGATAGTAATAATGACAATACTGTATTATTCCATTGAACAAAGAATTCATGCATGATATGATAACAGCTTTTTCTACTGACTACATTCATGGATTTATCAGAATAGACAACGTTTGATCATTTCTAGAAATAAGCTTAGATGGTGGATGGAGGTAGTCGACAGGAAACCCTGGACCCGGGTTTTGTGCTACTTGGCACTCGTCAGTAAGTTATACCTGTAATCTTGAGGGAACTGGTGCTCTCTAGCGGATTTTGATCCCGTGTCACCCAGCTTCATAGTCAGAGACGTTACCACTGAGCTATCTGGCTCGCGACTGACCTCCTGTAGGACTAAGATGTAACCACAACATGGTCGATAGCATTCAATCTGCACTAAATAAGGACTTTACACACATGACATTGATCACCACCCAGCGATCAATCAATTACGGTCTAGAATTAAGCATTATTTTTACATACGTAAATACATTCACTAAAATTGACTGAACGATAACTTCACTTCTTATTATCAACTTACCATTGGAATAAATTAAAAAAGAAACAATTTTTCACAACACATAAGCTCTCTGAAATTCAATCTCTTACCAGTTATTTGTAGCATAAAGTTTAAAAAGAATTCTCTAAACATAAAAGGAAAGTTTATTGTATCGTTTTAATCATATAGCCGTTAAAAAATATCCCAGTTAGTACTTATTTATAGAATTGTTACTGCTAACATTAACGGTTATGATACATTCTTACAGGATAAAGGAACTAGTATTATTATATATATTGAACTTCAATCAGTATATAAATAGACTATTTACATAAAGACCACACAGATAAATATATACACTTTAATTAGTGTGACATTCATTTGAAGTCTATTCCTATGATTCTATGTAAACGTAATAGACACATAATGATAAACCAATTCAATCAATATAATACTTTCACTGAACTGTATCAGA